TACCTATGTATGAAGATCTCTACATCATGGTTAGATCACAGAAACAGAATAGATTTAATCAAGGTGTATTTTATAAATACACCTTGGATTTAATCTATTTTATRGTTAGATCTTAGATACATAGATGTTATAAGATCTTATAATATCTATGGTTAGATGTAACAAATATTAAATTCATTGGATCAATAATGTCAATATGTCATTTGAACAAGAGAACATTATTAGAAATGTTTTTTTGTTATAAGGTGCCTACTTATATATTTTGGAATAAAATATTTCATTGGAATAAATGTACAAAGTACAATCATATTTATATATAAGTACCTATTATTGTATTCAAAACAATTTAATATATTATATATGACATATTATGTATATTTCAATATTTGTGATTTTAATAAAAAATATATAGGAACAGATAGTTTGCCAAAAAAGTTCATTGTAACATTCAAACTTAACAATTAATTGGTATATAAAATGTATGAGTTATGACCACCGGTGAAGACGAGAGCAACACATATGACTATATATGTCTATAGTCTATATGAGATATGACATTGTCTATATATTATAAGACAATTAGACAACAATGGGTAAAAATGCGTTTTTAGATCGAAGACCTCGGAAGCGTCAACAATGATCGGTTATTTGTCACACGAATGCATTTAGCGCTTACCTGAAGAAATTCGAACTGCAGTAGTGTATCGATACGTAACGTGTATCAGAACAATTTTTAACGTTCAAGAAGTTACACTCGCAATATTCAATAGCTATAAGTATATCGATATCGACCAGTATCGGACGATTATTGTTGCGTATATATATATATATATATATATAAATAAACCACAGTGGTTCCCTTTAATAGCATGTTAATGTTTAAAAAACTTACTTAAAAAATAATCAACTATGGTTACATTTATGGCGAAAAAATGAGAATGAAAACGCTGGCAAGCGCATTTTAAGAATAAAAATAAAACTATATATATGTAGTGTCTACTCACTGCCCCTATACATACGCTGAATAACGAAATCTGTATATAATATACGAATTTTTAAACCAAAAAAAATTAATAATAAGTTAATTGATCAGATAGCTGTCTGATACAGGATATAGCGGATCAACGTTTAAAATATGATGTATAGATGTTGTATATTACAACATATCAACTATAGGTAGTTAAATAGAAAAAAAATTGTAAAAGATATGTGATGGGTTTAAAATAAATTTATTTATAATTTAAGTGTAACTGACATATTATGTGTATACTATATATGTATAGAACTATGTATCATATAAATATATAGTATAACTTACTGTATTAGTGATTACTGTTTAACTAACTACAATAATGGTACGATTATATTATATATATTATTATACGCCTATATATAAAATATTACATAATATAATAATTATAGATACGAAGAGGGTAGTGAAGGTAGAGAATTTGGAAACTGTATAAAAATGAAAGTAATATAAACACTTTCTTTATTTATTTATTGATTAATAATTTAAATAGATTTAGAAAAATGTCCGTTGATTGGTGGCTCATCGGCGGCATAGTTGGACATTTCTTGAGGAATCACCGCACTTTCTTCAATACCCGTACAAGGGCGGCACATGCATTCTAGTGGAGCTTTTGTAGTTACCTGCAAAGAAAATAATACTATGAAATTAATTTAAAAATTAATATATAATATTACATTGTTTTTATTCTGGTTACTGTAGTTCTAACAATATACTCATTAATTTCTAAAGCAAAAAGCCACAAACTATATGTTATATATATATATTATATTATAAAAAGGTGTTTTTGTTAAACTCGTACGAAATTTTCAATTGACTTGAGTTTTTTATTGTGTTTGGTGCATAAATAAATACATCAACTTAGTTATTTTATTTTAAGAATATCGCCAATATCGGAACTCAACTGGCTATTATTAGAACAATAATGCAAGTTATTGGTAATTTATATAGAACCTATGTCACTATGTCACTACGACACTATAAATATAAAATTTATATTAAATATATGTTTTTTTTTGTTCTGTTTGTGTATTGATGTATTCGATAATAGTAAAATTGAACTCCAATAATGTTTAGAAAAAATACTGAATAAATTTATATGTAATGTTAAATATATAATAATGTTATAACGGCATATCCTTCTCAAATATTTTTTAATTATTATAATTATTATATATATGATCATATAGGGATAACGGATACCATATATTATTATCAATATTCAATATTGAAAGAGAAAAACTATATACCGTCACATAGACCCTGCAATACCAAGGTGCTGAAGAGGAGATGCACATTCTGTGATCATATTATTGCTTCGTCTGTGATGATATTAATACCTTTTTATTTGGAGTTTAGTAAGTTATTTGTATAAGTTCCTACTTTTATTCGTGTAGGAACTTATGYATGGATGTTTTTACGTCTCGAGTGGGAACATCTAGTCTGCAGTCATGCTTTACAGGTATCACATTTTAACATTTAAATTATATAATTATCGGTATAGCAATATAACATATACGATTTTTTTTAGCCTACATGTACCGTACAGAAGGTAAGAATAAATGCCTGCATACCTTTATTGACCGGTACAAACAGACACTATCAGATTAAAATGGTATAGTATTGAGTGGCCATGCCGTGCTTAAGTTTTTTCATCGTTTTTACCACCAGGTCCAAATAAACATGTAATCCATAACTTAAAACCATCCGTCCACTTTTTAACATGTTTATTTAACTGGTAAGTGTATTATATAATCGGATATCATGAAGTATGAACACTATGAACCTACCTTTCTAAATTTTTTCTCGCCTTGTTTGGCTTTTGGGCAAAACAGTGATACCGACGCTTCTCGTTCACCGCTCTCTTGACAACACATGCAAGAYCTTTCCATTTGCCATATTTTAGACCCAGAAACCTCGTTGAAAAAACAAAATTACATTAAATAATTATAGAATTTGCATTATTATTAAAAAAAAGTTTTTATTCAGAATACTCATTTACTTGTAGATAGCTGCTGCAGCGACCTGTACATGCAAACGATGGTATTGGCTTAGGTACACATCCTGGGTACTGTAGGACATGGATGACGGGAGTTACTTGGCAGTCGTCGCTAGACCTAGCGGTCACAACCACCCCATTACCATTATCAGCAAAGGCCATGCTACACATAGCCAATACTATCAGGTATCCTAAAATGTCAATAAAATATAAAATATTTATAATTTGGTGATGAAATATTATAGAATGGAAATTTAAAAATTAATAATTATATATTTAGCAATGATAAATTGATATAGTTTTTTTTAGGTATAAATCTTGAGAATCATAAAATTATTCATAGTAATACTCACTGAAAAATTCCTGGTTGATGGTAGACATTACGACTCAAAGATCATACTGTGAATAATCTTGCGAGTGGCAGTCTCCTTTGAAGGGCTCGGACTTCCGACATATATGATTTATTAACGGAAATAGGCCTCCCGGAGTGTAAACATGGTTTATGAATTAGATTGCTCAGTCGGCTGCAAGCTACCAAAAAACAAATACACGTAGAATCATTTAAATCTAGACGGTTTGTTGGCGTCAAAAATAGAAAGAGTTCGGTAAAATATTCTATACATAGTTTATAAATGTAGACGAAAATTAATAACTAAGTTTTTTCTAAGGGTAGAGTATTTTGAAAATGGTTTTGATATTAAATTTACTTAGTATATTATTTAGCTATTAAATGCACTATTTTCAGTTTTATACAGATATATAAAAAAAAAATGTGTATAAACAATAGTTACTAGACAAATTTATACGTAAATAATTATTAAAATTAGATAAAAAAATAATATCTTATAGGAATATAATTCGATTTTAATTTAAAATGTAATACATAAAACACATTACGYATAAACAACCATCAACAGATGTGCTAACTGCTAAGTACAGGCAAATGTAATAAAATATATAAACCATAAATTTAATATTTATTATTACTGTACATGCCTAATTAAATAATTAAAGGGGCTTACTGTTAAGGCCAAGTGTCAATACTAATTTAAGTTTATAATTAGTTAATTTATTCAATACSAATATACAATATATAAGTAGGTAAGTTCAATATATTTTATTTAAAGTATTATGTTGATATGTAACTAAATCATATTTTCATAAGCCATACTCAAACTTACATAAGGATATTATTTAGTAATGATGCTCATTGTTTGCAGGCTATTCAAATTAAATAGGTGCTATGTTATAGATACCTATACCTCTAGTAAATATTTTTATCTAGAGGCCTAAACAAAATATTATTTAATTTATTTCAGTTACTGTTAGGTATTTACTATACATTTTAGTAGTTTTCACTTTTCAATAATAATGAAAAATGAATGTTCACTAATAATTGTGTATAATAAGTACGATGTATATATTTCAATCAATGATTAATAAG